CCCCAAAACCCCAAAACCCCAAAACCCCAAAACCCCAAGAGCAAAAAATATAATCGAATAATATAAATTATAAAAAACACGAGGTGAATAAAAATGAGCAACCCTAATAACAACCCATATAACTACCCCTACAACTACCCTCCTGCCCCATACCCTCCTGTCGCCCACCCCCACTACCCTCCTCACTATCCACCGCAGTACCCTCCAAGCCACGTCCACTATCCACCCCACTACGCTTACCAATACGGTCAAAATCCCTACCAGCCTCATCCTGGCTACCCACCTCAGATGGCTCATCACGCCAGCCATGCACCGATGCCAGCATACCCTGCGCAAGCGCAGGTACAGCCGCAAGTGCCAAAGAAGCCGAAGAGCAAGTCGTAAGTGTAGTTTTAAGAGTATATAGACCGCTTGACACACAAGAAGAGATCAAAAAGTGGGTTGAAAGCAGGAAGAGAAATTATCCTTCGAAGAAGAACATTGAGAAGAAGGAGAAGATGATCAAAGCTAAGGCTGAGAAAGGAATTCCAGTGACTTTGGGGTCGTTGAAGAATATGGAGAACATCAGCTTATTAGAAAAGAAGCTTAGGAATGAGCATGTTAGACCAACTAAACCAGAGGTATGTTGTTTAGACTATGGTTAGAAATGACTCAAAGTTTTGGGTATTGTTGATCTAATATTTACCCTATTTAATAGCTTTCCTAGTCCTTAATGAATCCTTGAGGAATGTTCTTAGCATCATATCTTCCCTGTAAAGTACTTTGTAATATTTCTACTCCATTCTTCTTTAAAATATTGCCTAAGAGAGCTTGTTATCACAGCAAGTTACTTGGGCACACCTTTTATCATAAAATATTTATTGTATTTTTAAGTCAAATAAGGGAAAATTCCAAAAGTTTCCGAACAGGGCTCACAGCCTTATTCGGAACCACAGCGTACTACTAATAGCATTGGTTCCCTGGGTTGAATTTTGGAGACTTTTATGTAGTTCTTAGCTGATTTTGGTATAGGGCCATATGAACAAGAGAAAGAGAAAAAGACCCCATAATAAAGATAGAAGCACCAAGATTGTTAAATTTGAAGAAGGAGATCAAACCACACCTTTGAAAGAGGGGACTCAAGCCCTAGAGATGCAGAAAGAGAAACTTGTAACTGAGGAAGGAACTAAGGAGATGAAGAAACATGAAAATTCTAGAGGTATGGTGATTGTTTAATCTACTGATCGTTTTGTTGTGTCTAATAATTTTCAATAGCTCAATCTCAAAAGAAACAGCAGAATAAAGCTAATGCGAAGCTGCCTTTCAAGTACAAAAAGAACACTATTTATTCTGACCTAATCAAGAAGGAAAAGGAAGCAGAAGCTACTGTGCTTCTTCAATGCTTCAGGTATATCATTAAGCAAAATCTTCTCTAATTCTGATCTTGTTTCAATATTCCATCACATAATTGGGGTTTTGGGGTTTTGGGGTTTTGGGGTTTTGGGGTTTTGGGGTTTTGGGG